AACCTGGGGTTCCGCCTCCATCAATCATGCATTCACACAAAAATACACACTCTTGTGTGTTACAGCCTGCTCAGTGTTTTATAACTAAGGTGTCACTTTATTTTTAAGCTCATTTAATAAGACAAGTTGAACCAGAACAGACTCATTTGGAGCAGCATAGAAACACATACAGTACACACATGGATCACTGTGTAGAGCTATGGGCAGCTTCTGCACAACTTCTATAATTAATTAAAGTCCCACTCCAGAAACATTTTCATTTTTATATTTGTATATAAAAATACTTTACTATAAACAATATGCAGTCTAACACAGCTTTTCCTCAAAAAAATTTCAGTGGGCCTCTGTAATAGGAATGAACATTGCCCCTCATTGTGCATTCCAGGATCTATGAATGTTGCCGTCATCCCTTATGTGGATTTGAATAATTTTGCACGCCCAATTTTTCAGTTTTTTTATTTGTTAAAAAAGTTTGACATATCCAATAAATTTCGTTCCACTTCATGATTGTGTCCCACTTGTTGTTGATTCTTCACAAAAAATTACAGTTTTATATCTTTATGTTTGAAGCCTGAAATGTGGCAAAAGGTCGCAAAGTTCAAGGGGGCCGAATACTTTCGCAAGGCACTGTATGTTGGCTTTTACTTTCTTCTTCCCAATAATCCAGATAAGTTTCTTTACACTGTGTGGTATTTCCCCTATTGCAGGATTAATTATAGGAGTAATATTCTTGATTTCTTGATCTCTTGAATACTATATTTTGTCTTGTTCTTAGGGATTTTGATTTGTTCCCAGGGATTAATTGTAGGAGGATCATTCTTGTTCTTGATTGTCTCTCAAATACCACATTTGGTTTGGCTTTAGGTACTTGAATTTGTTTCTCAAAATATATGTGTGGTGTTTGTTCTTATGGTGTTTTGTTGCTGCTCTCTATTGCTGCTGGAACACAGGAATTTCCCCACTGTGTGATCAATAAAGTCCTATCTATCTATCGACCTACCTACCTTATAATTTGGTTTACTCTGGTGTTTGGAGAGCAGTGTTGATGCCTCAGCACCGAATGACGGGGCTCTCTCTCTTCTGGGCTCAGCTCTTGGGTCTGGAGTTTTGGAATAGAGGGTGTCAATGGGGGCGGTGTTGAGTGTAACATTGATTGTTCACCGTTCTCAAGCCATTAGAAGAAGAAGAAAGGCGGAAGTAGTATCATAATGCGCATGGCGCTATTTGGAAAATAATTTTTCTTCTGAGTAAATACCCAAGTTTGTCGTGATTTGAAGATAATATTTGCTACTTACATTATAACAAAATACAAGTAAGTGTGTTTTGCAGCCTGTAGGATACAGTTTGCAGGAATCGTTAAATTGTTTAATTGCTCAACAACAACGTAACTGAATCGTCCGCCGGTCATTTATTTCTTTGCTTGTTAGCTGGCTAGCATGCTAATCTTGGGCTGGCTACTTACATTGCCAGAACAACAACAAGAGCAACTTACATAAAACGGAAACTTGTGACTTAGAGTTAATATTCATCTCAGATTTTCCGTAAACGACAGGCATATGTAAATTAGATTAATAGTCATCTAAACTGTGGTGTTTCGTGTTATGGTGCTTGCAAGTAGCATTAGCTTCTCTGAGAAGGCAACTTAACGTTACTATCTTACGGTAGTCCTCACAGCCTTTAAACTGTCAAGTTTATATTGCATGACTAAAATCAGTTTATTCGGAGACACGAATATAACAGTTGTTTGTTAATACCGACTCACGCAGTGTGAGTTCACATGTTTGGTTAGCTACAAAAAAGGTTATTTAGTGTAAAATGTTTTGATGTAAATAAAAAAAGCTATAGAAGGCAACAGAAACTTCACTATAAGTGGTAATTCGGTATCTTCACTGCACTTCAGAGAAACAAAGTCAGGACTCCATAAACTACAGTTGTGTTAAAATGTCATTGGTGTTGACCACTAGCAATATATTGGCTGTAACATCATGTGAAATCCCACACACATGACCCCTCTCTCAGGTCTCTACAAGATGGAGGCTGATCTGTATGATGAGTTTGGCAACTACATCGGTCCAGAGCTGGACTCTGACGATGATGAAGATGATCTGGAAGCAGAGGACAGAGAAGTTGATGAGGTATTCCTCCAACTCAATGTGAACAGTTTTTCCCAAGTTTGTTTATGTGGAACGTGAACGTGTTATGGCAATAACACTGCTCTTTTGCAGGGTGATGAAGATGAGGATGATGAGCCTGCTGATGCTGATGATGATGTCCCGGGCATGGAGGTGGTCCTGCATGAGGACAAAAAGTACTATCCTACAGCAGAAGAGGTTTATGGGCCTGAAGTGGAAACTATTGTCCAGGAGGAAGATACACAACCTCTTACAGGTTAGCGACACAGCAAAGGATATATTGAGCAATTAATAAACATGTATTCACTCACACAAGTAACTTGTCATTAATCTTAATTAGCATAAGGTAACTTATGCTGTGAAGTGCAACTCACAAACATTAGTGTTTTCTCACTGCTCCAGAGCCCATCATTAAGCCTGTGAAGAACAAGCAGTTCACCTTGATGGAGCAGGAGTTACCCGCCACTGTCTACGATATGGAGTAAGCCAATTCACATGGCTTTCTTTTTATATGAACCTGTGCATAATATACAGGGTTTTTTTTTTTTTGTTTGCCTAAAACCTGATGATGCAAATGTTGATCCAGAAGATTTAGATGTGTTTGGATTTCGAGTTGTGATAACCCTCCTCACTCTTTACAGATTCCTGGCAGATCTGATGGATGGTCCAGCGCTGATTCGTAATGTCACCCTATGTGGTCACCTTCACCATGGCAAGGTTAAAGCCTTTCTTACCACAGTCTCTGGTTCAGTCTTTCTTTATAGTTGTGTTATCTTGTCATGGCTTTATGGTTACATTTAGCCAACGAGGATGTGTGTTCCTGAAATGAAAAATGTAGGAGCATAGGAATGTTCTGGAGCACATGGTGCACTTTAGACTCATTTGTGACTCATGTAGATCTAATAGATTTGTTTGTTTGTTGTTCAGACCTGTTTTGTGGACTGCCTGATTGAGCAGACTCACCCAGAAATCAGAAAGAGAGATGATGTGGATGTAAGTGTTGTCTACA